CACTCCCCACTCACCAATTTGAGTGTTAGTAACCACATCTTCAAAGATAGGTGCTCTGGACTCCTATTCCAGAAAGCCACAGTTTCAGACTCTATTTTGAAGTGAATCTGTAGGATCGACTAAAAACTTACTGAAAGCCATGACTGCAGGATATCAGAATCCAATATTAAGAAATGTCTATTCAGTGTTTCAACTTCCTCCTGGTTTAGTCTTGGTAGAGTACCAATGTCCAGGAATTTAGCCATTTCTTCCTGGTTTACTGGTTTATGTTCATAGAGCTGTTTGTAGTAATCTCTGATGATAGTTTGTATTTCTGTGGAATCAGTGATGATATCCCCTTTACCTAAAGTACAATTTGTAAAAAGTCAGTGACAGGAAATATAAACTGTATTTCTGCATTCAGGAGGGTGTTTTCTATATGCAACTATTTCTTGTTTTACATGCTCAAAAGGCAGATATACCTTCAAGTCTTTGAGAAAACTGTGAAAATTATTATTTTCGCTCTACAGAGTGAATCATGAATTACTTGGAACCCTGTAGCCTGTTGACATTGATATCATAGGATTATATTGTCCCTTGCCAAACCCAAAAGCTGCAAAGTCAATATCATCATGGTCGCAGGTGAACTGGCTACAAAAAAAAAAAAAAAGTTTCAAAATATGCTAATTGAGGCCAGTCCCTGCTTACAAAGACACAAGGTTTTTGGCAGGTGAAATAATATGTTGATATGGTTAGGCTTTGTGTCCTTACCCAAGTCTCACCTTGAATGGTAATCCTCAGGTGTTTAGGTAGAGACCCAGTGGGAAGTGATTGGATTATGGGGACAGTTCCTCCATGCTGTTCTCATGATAGTGAATTCTCAAGAGATCTGATGGTTTTATAAATGGTAGTTTTCTCTTTGCTGACACACTCTTGGTTGTGGGCTCTCTCACTCCCTGCCCTCCCCGCCTCCACCCACTCTATCTCTCTCTCTCTGTCTCCTTCCCTCCTTCCCTCACTCACTCATCTGCTGCCACGTAAGATGGGCCTGTTTTCCCTTCCGCCATGATTGCAAGTTTCTAAAGGCCTTCCAAGCCGTGTGGAACTGTGAATCCGTTAAATCTCTTTTAGGAAAAAAAAATTTGCCCTTGTATTTTACCTATGTTTCATCTCATGAAATCATAAGAATTATATCA